GGGTGGGGGGGAGCTACCAGGCTCTGACCGCATAGGAATTTATACACTAACCAAGTCACACAGGGACCCCTGACCTGGGCCAAGTCACTAAAGCTCTTGTCATCAGTTTGCCAGATTTCTTCCAGTCCTCGGCCAGAATCTGGCACAGGACATTCTGTCTGCTCCTCACAGTGCATTTGATTTGAATTATTTGAACACAGGTCAGGAAGACTGAACACAGTATCGTTCTCTACTCCAAACCTATGACACCCATTTCTAAGGAGGGGGGGCGATTTTGGAGAGGATGGTGATGCGGCGGCAGCAATGAGGGGCAGGAAGGCACCCCAACCCGTGGCCAGGCCCCTCCAAATCGGAATTAGCCCTGGTCACCATCTGTCCTTGATACATACACAAGGAGTGATGAGAAAATTAGCCACCGTCTCAGGACCACTGCTCTACTTATTGCAGAAACTGGGGGAAACTTCTCCAGTTTCTTGAGCGTGGTAGCGGTAGATCTTAAGCTCTAAAGGAATTTGGGGCCTACAAGCTGGCGGAACAAGGGCAGAGTGAGGGGACTGTCAGGAGGGCGAAAGTGCATAGCAAGCGTCCTGGGTTTGCTTAGCTTAGACAAAGTGTGGCTCAGCGGGGTGTCCAGGGGGAGGGGGAGGGGTGCGGACAGGCAAGGGGAAGGCTCTAAACGCCCCAGGCCACTGGCTGGGGCCGCCACGACCCAACTGGCCCATGCGGACCCCTCCAAGTTTGGCCCAAAGCGAGACTACCTGCGGGGAGACCTTGGGACGCTCTTAACAAAAGTCGGAGTTAGGCAGCCCTGGATCGCAGCGAGAGGTGGGGCACCCAGCAGCCGCGCCGCGCGTCGAGATTTCCCTCCCGGGCGAAAGCAGCCTCGGCGCTCAGGCCACCACGGCTCCTCCGCGCCGGGGAGGCGAGATCGGGGACGGCGAGATCGGGGGTGTCCCTGCCGCCTTGGGGCCACAGTCGCGCGGCGGAGCCTCGCTTACCTGCAGCGCGGCCGCGGGCAACCGCGCCTAGCCGGCTGGACCGCCACCGCTCCCGTCGTC